CGAGAATCGTTTCACAATAATATAATTTTCATTTTCTGGCCTAAAACTATGATATGACTGTGTTCCGGAAATTTGTTTGACATGATTATAACGGGTTTTAAGTTTTCTTTCCATCGCTTTATGATCTGCGTCTGAAAAAGGCATAGTGCATTTTTGAATCGATTTTAGAAATTGCCCATGTATAAAGCTCTTTAGCAGTTGTAATGAGATGCCCCTGCAAACTTGCTTTAGCAGCATTTTGTTTCAAGACTCCTCACATGGACCTTTACCGTGGCATGTGGCGAAAAATTTCCACTCGGCATCTATACCAAAATCCTTTTTTCATTTGGCACAAATTAAAAGCTGTCATTTTATTTTTGTACTGATCTGAGAAAAAGTGAATTTTCTTAAGGCTGGGTATCTTACTCTTGATGAAATTTATACAATTAACTACGAATAATCGAACTGAAACATGGTTGTGCTTGGTGAACTCCGCGATTGCAGTGAAACTAGTAAACATTAAATCTTTGGTATGATCATTTCCATAATAAATAGCAAATGGATGTATAGTGCACTGTGCGTTTGCCCAACGAAATCCTTGTACAGCGTCTTGTACAACAAATGAAAAGTTTTCAGAAAAATCACATATTATTATACATTCCGTTACTTTCAAGTTACTTTTGACATATTTCGAGTATTTACCTTGTTGTTCAGCTATAAAATTATATGGTGATAAATCGGATAGCTTTTCCAAAAACATGTCTATAAACTCTTGAGTTTCCAACTCCACTAAATCCATGATACAACGGTCAGCTTGACACCATTGTTTAAATTTTAAGGATTCCACATTTCCATCGGTCAGGATAGTAACCATTTCTGAAGTCAAATTTTGTATACCTGGCAATCAACATTTTTAACCAACACTGTTCTGTGGGGTTGGTGCAAAGAATTTAAAAAAAAAACAAATCATGGTATAATTTCACATCAGCTGTGGAAGTGACTTTCTATCTTGAAGAGTTTCAAAAATTAATTTAACATTTTGGTGGTAAACACACACACAAACAGTATGTGTGCCACTCGTTCCTGCCAGAATGCAATGCTTAGGGCGGTTACTTGCAAACATTGAAAACCCTATTTTAGTTGCGGGATATTGATCCTTGAAAATGGCATAAACTTCTTGCAAATTACACGATAGCAATCTTCGTTGTATATAAACCTTACCATCAACATTTTTTGTAAAAACATAGTCGCGTTTTCCTGGACAGGCTCGGCTTATTTCGTCACTGGTATAGAAATCACGCACGAGTGATAAAGTTTCTTCTGCTAAAGACGCCCTGCTCAGCCTTCTTCCTGGTGTGATCATTATCCCCTTGTCCTCCTGTAATGTTTTGGTCGGATCCGCCATATATTGAGAAACACCGAATTCCTTCGTTATTTTATTTGCTGACCAGCTTTTAGGTAAAGTCGTGAGAATCGATACTTCTCATTATTATCATGAGTTTCTAGAAACTTTTCCTTGAGTTGCTGAATGATTTCATCATCGTTTGTAGTAGGCACACTGTCAGTATTTCTGATCGATTGTAAACTGGGTACTTCTAGTGACTCTGAAAATGAAGTTAAAAAACATATTTGACATTACTGTTAACACTACACTACATTCGAGCCTGATGTTGCAAAGTTTTCAAAATGCTATAATGTGACGTCATGCTCGTTTGACTCATAGCTACCAATGTAAATACATTTTCAAAATACAATATTCACCTTGGCTGTTGACAGCAGGAACTCCGGATGGTCCAGCGGTGGGCTCTTCGGGTGCGGGTTTATACAGTTTGAGGTAGCAATTTCTGCATATGAAGGAACTGCCATCTAATTTCACTTTTTTCTTCACCGCATGAACTTGAAGAGCTTGGGTTAGATTCATCTTTAAAGCAGTTGAAACCCACAAACAACAATAAAAACACTTAAAATTCATCGTTTATAAAACACTGGCTGTACAGAATATCTTTGGATTAGCAGAGCTTTTGTTTCCGTACTGATTATTTCACTTCTAAGTTCATCCTTAAATATACCACCATGCATTGTAGGGTAGGATAGTGCAAACGCATCGTTTAAGCAAAATCGTCAATTGCTGGCGAATGGAAGCTAAAATCAAGAAAAAAGTAATGGCGTTTGGTTCATTACCATGTTTTCTACGAAGATCGAGTGATTTAGAACTACAAAAGGATGATTTTCCATGACTTTCAAGGTATTTTATAAATTGTTTCCAAAATTATAGCGGGGCAAAACGCCTGATTCATGATGCAATATGCACCACAACATTGGGGCAAGACGCACGACAACAATGGCCAAAACGCAACACAACATTGGGGTAAAATGCACCCCATGGTAGACAAACCATAACCCCTGCAAGTAGATAATCCAAAGGGATGCGGAATTTTAAATGATTATTTCTTTATGTTACATCAGAAATAAGGTCTCAAAATCTCAATAGAATGTTAAACTGTGATTCATCTAGTAAAATATCTAAAAAATATACAAAAAGTAAATTCGTTAAATGTTTTTGTGATATATGATGTTAAAAGCTTAATTTTCAGTCGATGATTTTAACAACTGTGTCCTGTTTTGCACAAAATGCTATTTTTTTTAAAGAAATCAATAGGTCAATATATGATTTTATGATCAAGAATTATTTGTGAAACCTCCAGTTGAAAACAATCACAAACCGTTATCCGGAAAACGCATCTGAGGAAAAGTTATCGATGTTTTTCAATAAGTGGGCATTTTACCCCAGGGGTGCATTATGGGCTGTTCTCCCTTACCTACGACCGAACACCTTACCTACCAAGTCTTCCGTATGATTTTAGCATGCCTATAAAAGCAGAAGCAGAAAATTGATATGGATTATGTGACTATGTCAGCTATGTACCAATGGAGACGCAGGGTAATCTAGTCGTATTGCAGTAATGAGCGAAATTTCCAATCATGTTTAGAAATTTCGCTCATTACTCCAATACTACTAGCTTACCCTGCGTCTCCATTGGTTTAAAAAAATCGTAACTAAAAAAAAAAGAAAAATGCATCGCTGATTTTTTTAAAAGTTGTGTAGAAAACCCTAAATTTAAAAAAAAATATATAAAAACGTGTTACGCCCATTGTCTACAAACCATGAAAACCATAAAAAAAAACAAATACAAGCAAATATATCAAATATATTTTTTCTGAAAATTATTTTTAATAACCTTTCATTTGATATTTTGATCATTCAAATCGGTTCAATGGTTCAACAGTTATAATTTTTTTTAAATGCCATTTTTGGAGAAAAAAATGAAAAAAAATTATTTTTTGGACCACCCTAACAGGAAAATGGTCACCCTAATGATAAAATGAAAAACAAAAATTGGGTCTAATATTTTTCGATAAGGATCAAAACTGCCAATTATTACGAAATTCTGAGAACCACTATATCGTTTTGCTATGGAATGGCTATATATATATATATATATATATTCATTCCTAACACTAATATTTCTTTTTACAGCCTAAAAATGCCAAGTAACGACGATGGCGTCATATCAAATGAACCTAAACGTCGTGTTAGTATAATCACAGATCCTGTTATGGAGAGCAGAATGGGACACGATAATTTTGGCTACGAGCCAAACACAAAACGAAAAATATCACAGGTCAGAATAGCTCAATCTCGAACGTTCGCTAACTGAATTATTTTTAACTGAAGTGAATTTACCCAAAACTTACTGAAACAAGCTTCAGTTAATGGAAACTGACGAATGAAATGCATTTAATTTTGCGAAAAATTTTCAGTCATCGAACGTTGATTGTATCACACAAAGGTTGTCCATAAATCACGTATTCAATTCTTAAAATGTATGGGTCTAAGTCACTTATAAACCCCCATCACTTACTGCCTACTCCTTATAAACCATCTACGTAGTTTATAGGCTGTTCCAGAGAAGAAGTTTTGAATATAATTTTACAATTTTCCTCTCACACCAGCAGCACTCCAGTCATTCAGAAGATGGACCCGTCAGACGAAAAAGCAATCTTCACAACGCTAACGTCGACAGCTCAGCTATAAACAGCTATGGTTAGGAACACTTAACCGTATTACCAAACATAAATATTGATTAATAATTTTTTGTTCACACAGATCAAAGAGTAAATGGAGATGTTAACAGGGTTAAAAAGCAATCATTTTCTGAAGTATTAAGCAAAATCAATCAAGAATACGAAACTGGACAGCAGAATGCACACCTTGAACAATCCTGGATTTATTCTCTCTGCATGAGGTGTAGGGTAGAATACAGTACACCTTCATGGGAACCACCTGGATGGCAAAAAATTTGCCCTTACCCGTTATGCCCTCCGTATAGGCAATTTGCAAGGATTATATCCATAATTCTCATAGGTAAGTTAAAATTACACCGTTTGAAAAAATCATGTAAATTTCTACGATAGCGCACACGTCCTTAATGTGTTTCCTTTTCTTATAAATATGTAAATTTCCAACCATGCTTGCTTCTCCGCAGCAAACAAGCTTCAGCTACATGCATTCACAAAAACCTTAATTTTTTTATCTAGTTCGTTTATTTGAAATGCACAATCGCGTTATCAAAACAGAGCTAGAGGGGTACATTCGAAGGATAGGATCAGGGGAGGAGCAAAAAATACCTTTATATTTTGACTTTTGAAATTGGAAAGTGTAATGCGAAAATGTACGCTAAATTTGGCGTGAATTTACACGATATTTCATGTAAACAATATTGTGCATATACGAGACATTTTTTGACGTAGGACAACGTCTTTCATTTCTATACTGGGGGTCACATTAAAAAAATAAAAATTCAGACATGTAACGAAAAACCCCAAAAACGGACGCAACGATAAAACGCAAATCGAACAAACGACACATTACGCATGTCCACATTAGCGAGCTCTATGCTCGGTTGATCGCTCACCATTTCACAAATGAAAGGAAGGGAGGAAAAAAGCAGCGATAGTAAAGACGCTTGCCAAATCTTTTTCTTCGTCATTTGCTTTCGAGCAACGAACTGATAAGCGTCTGACACGACGTATGAGTGAAACAACAAGCACCGCACCAATACGAAGACGACGTAGTGTTGGCACATTATTTCCATTTTCAATCTGTATTTTCACCGTAAAAAATCTTTTCACATTGTGATTTCAAAAATCACAACACATAACTTTTATTTGGATGTTTAATAGAATTGCATAGAATATTCTTTATTTATTTTATAACGCTAGTCAAATGTCCAGTTGACCGTTTGACTCACAGCTGTAATCAATCAGTGTGTGGGTTGTTCAAACGGCTTATTTACCGATTCGACCAATTTAAAAAAAATCATAGTAGGGGAAATGGCTCTAATGTTGGCCTATGGATCTAAGATTGGGCCCTTCGCTAAAAATCTGCAATTTATCAATTTAATCTGATGAACGCGTCATTGGGACGGTACTAATGGATATTTTTGGTCGCTATTGAACATTTAGTCGATTGCTGAATTTATACAAGGTCCCAAATCAGGAGCATTTAACCCGACATTACAAGAATGAAAAAAATAACATATCTTCTAACGAGCAATCAGAAATCAGAACATCTTAGTATCAGAAGCCCGTTCAAAATTAACGAAGATAATCAAATAAAAAGTGAAAATTGGGATTTGGCTAGGTGCTCGTACCTACTCAAAAGGAAAAAAGGATTATTTATGGATATTAATAAATATAATCAAGAGTTAAACATATATTCCACTTATTTTAAAAATCTGAAAATTCCGTAAATTAAAAAAAAAATCTGTGATCTGCAAATATGCAGATATCTGTTTCAAAATGTTGAGGAAAATCTGTATCATTACAGATAAATCTGTATATGTGACATCACTGAGACGACGACGAAAGCAGCCACATCGACCGCAGGAAAGGCTTCCCGCAATAGGCAGCATGACTAGGACGCCGTCATCAACCGGTGGAAACTAACGATTTTAAATAGGCTCCCTACTTGACTACCCAAGTAACCAAAAGTTCTGATATAAGGCTATTTGTGGCTTAAGCAGCTTGGTTGAAGGTGGTCTATAGAATTCTAAGCAGCCTCATTTTTAAGTCTTTATAAGAACTTGAAAGTTCCGGTACCATAATTGAAGAGCATTCTAAGCAGCTTCTGGTGGAACTTGAATGGAACTTTTAGAAAATAAATTAAAAAAGATTTTTGTCCTCTACACCAATTCTATATTAAGTTCGTACTTTTATGAAAGTTATTTCTAAAGGCAGGTATTAATGTGTATGGATGTATCAGCATTAGTAGTAGAATTGGAGCTGTTTGAAGAATTAAACCCAGTCCTAAATTCAAATGTTCGAAAATCTCTCTGTTTTTGATCGAATGGTTTTCAATTCAGTGCTTGTCAAATTTAGGTATTTGTCTGTCAGAAATGAACATGCTTTCATAGAGATTAGTGACGTTTAACGCACGCACACCGCATCACCGTGTAAAATTGTTTATGATTATTAAATGCATTTGACAGTTTGCAATGCAAATGCATATGACAGCGATTTGTTATGTATTTTCCTCGGATTTTCACTAACACACTATCACATATAGCATTAATACCACCGACAAACCGACATGAATCATCATACAAATTATATTAAATACAAATTTCTGATCAAAGCATAAAACTGACATCTGCCGTCGTGTTCGCGGAAAATACTAATCCTATACGGAACCGAAAAATTACCCATAATTAAGTTCTTTTCACTCATCTTCCATGTTCCGTTCAAAAAGCTAATTTTCAGTAAACCGCTTATAGTAGTTTACATGTGACTACGGCAAAAATAATTACTTATTCTTGAGTATTTTCTACCCAAAATTAAGTTCAATTGACTCAAATTTGAGAATATCTCATATACTCACGAGTAGCTTATTGAACGATAGTCATGAGAAAATCGAATCTCTCGTTCCGTTTTTGACAACAACAAAAAGTGAGAGTGGGAATCAAAACTCAAAATTACCCAAAATTAAGTAAAAAGAACTTAAATTTAGGGTAATTTTTTTTTCTCTGTTTAGCCACGAACACGCGTACACAGAGAAAAAATACCATAAATTTAAGTTCTTTTTACTCAATTTAGGGTAATTTTGAGTTTTGAATCCCACCACTTTTATGTTGTTCAAAAACGGAACGAGAGATTCGATTTTCTCATGACTACACTGAAACAAAAATAATAGTTAGGAATACTATTTTGCAGAAAACACTTATTTTCAGCATAACTACGCTTAATGCCGTTAAATCTACCATGATTTCAGTAAAGTTGACTATAAATATAATCAGATTTACTACCATTCTGTTAAAACTACTATGCTTACTCAAGCGGCACAGTAGTTTTGATAGAAAAAAGAGTAAAATTAAATGAATTTCGTTTCAGCCAAAATCTATTGGTGGGAGTATTTAATTTAAACCATCAATATAGTATTTTTGCTTATGCATTTTTTTCTGTGTACCGTTCAATAAGCTACTAGTGAGTATTCTGAATTTGAGTCAATTGAACTTAATTTTGGGTAGAAAATACTCACGAGTAAGTAATTTTTTGTCGAAGTCAAATGTAAACTACTATAAGCGGTTAACAGAAAATTACTTTATTGAACGGAACATAGGAGATGCGTGAAAAGACTTAATTTTGGGTAATTTTTCGGTTCCGTGTACAAAATTTATGGGTTGATTCGTGTCTAATCTATTTAGGACAAATTATTTTTATCTTGATAAAACATTTCTATGGTTTTGACAGATGGGATCGCTGCACATTTGAATCGGCCGTTATGGATTCTCAATCAGTAGTTAAGTTTAAGTTTCATTTCGGTTTGTAGGTGCCAATACAACCAGACGTGAAAATCTCAATAGCAGAGTTATTTTTAAATTTCTCATCTGTCAAATTTAATTAAATATTTAAAAAGTGAAATTCCGTCGACCTGAACTTCTCCACAAATCAATCACCGACAAACCGACATGAATGACCATAGCAAAAATAATAAAATTTCTCACTAAAGCACGCAACTGACATCTGGCTCCGTGTTCGTGGGAAATATTTAGCTAAGCCATGAACCCGCATGCAAAAGTTATGAATTGGTTCGTTTCTGATCTATTCTGGACAAATTATTTTTATCTAGATAAAAAAATTCTATGGTTTTGACAGTTCGTATCACTGCACATTTAAATCAGCCGTTTACGATTTTCGGGCATAAGTCAGAATTAAGTGTCATATCGGTTTGTTGGTGGATCAATCACGGAACTCATTTTCCAAGTCCTGTTTCTTACCCAATTTCAAGAAGGATGGGAAGGAGATCTCAAAATATCTGTATATGCATTTACCCAATCAAAAAATCTGCATATCTGAATATACAGATTCTTGGTTTAAAAACTGCTAAAAACTCTGTATAAATACAGATTATTCTGTATTTTTGGCATCCCTCCTGACAAGATCCATTTCAGGATCAATGCCCAGCATTGAAGCACAGACAAAGTTGAACCTAACATGGATAAATAAGAAAGCAACAGAGATATATCAACTTTGTCAAATGCTTTCCTAAAATCAGTAACTGATATTATAAGGCTTCTACACATAGTTTCTTTTAACCATTACGTTTAGCGAAAATGTTACAAAATGTATCAAATGAAGAGGTGTAGATCATCCTTTAACAAATCCATGTTGTTTACTGGTAATTAAAGTCTTAACCTGTGAGAATATATTATCATTAATTATGGATTCAAATAATTCAGGATTGTTTGATGATATAGCAACCCCACGGTACTTTTTTATATCAGATTTTTTATTCACTTTTAAAAATTGGGATTAAAAATGTTTTCTTCCAACTTGGAGGAAGGATGCCGGACTTCAAAGGTTGAATTGAACTGCAAAAAATAAAGCTCTACTTTTATCTAGTTCGTTTATTTGTAAGGCTCAATCGCGTTAGCTTTACGCAGCCGATAAGGGCCTGTTCATAAACTACGTAGACAGTTTTTTTGAGATTCTTGACCCCCCCCCCCTCCCCCTGCGTAGATAATTGTCCATACAAAAAAATTAAAATTTGTATGGGCCGTGGATAATTGTCAACCCCCCCCCCCCCATAAACTGTCTACGTAGTTTATGGACAGCCCCTAATTCATTGTTCTTTGTTTGTAACAAAATTCACTTACTTCCATGTCTTATAGGAGTTGGGCCCGAGGTTAGAGGGGTACATTTTCTAAATATAGGAAAAGGGGAGGAGCTTGGGGGTAGGGTTTCGTTGTATCATCAGTATTAACGGTAGTGTGGTTCTAGATTCGTCTGGAGTTCCACCGGCTATGATAACCAGTGGACGACGATGAGACTCATCGACACGGGGGACAAGACAAAAAAAAACTAATA